TTTTTTACAGTTGGGAATTCTGAGTGGGATAAGGCTGTCTCTTATACACATCTAGATGTGTATAAGAGACAGCTCTCTCTCTCTCTCTCACATGTGCACGCTTAGTCCCGTTGCTTTGGCTCATTGGGCCAGGCTCACAATTCACAACCCTATGGCTGAGGTATGGTGTGTTTGCAGCACAAAGGCTGCACCGAAAGGGAGCACATCATTCCTCACCCCCTGCCCCCTCTCTCTCTCTCTCTCTCCCTTTTCTATTAAACTTTCAAAAACTCACATCTACCCCTACCGTCTTCCCCCGAACATAACGCACCCTGAAAATGAATGTATACAAGCTATATTTCCGGTCCGGTACAACCAAAATGAGGGTGCATTGTGTTCGGGGGAAGACGGTAGGGCTGCGTTCCCGCGCCCACTCTTTAGACAATGTAGGGAACATGGCAACACACTGTATATAGGTGGTTCCATCGGAAGTCATTGGGAGCACTCCCATCAGAGTGGATTGTCCCATGGGATGGAGCACAGCATGCTGGCCATTGACTGATCGGGCAGTTTCTGACAAATCAAATGACGGACTGGCATTCAGTGGAAGAGCGCCCCCCCCAACACACGCAGAAAATGTGTTGGGGCTGCTAGGCCGCGGGCCCGGGCGGGTGGGCAGTCCCTTGTGTTTTCATTTTCCCCTTTCTTTTCTGTTCTGGGCCCTTTGTGTTTGGGTTGGGGGTAGTTGAGTAAAGAATTTGTTTGTTGGAGCTTTGGGCAGTCTTACCCAAGTCCAAGGAAGAGAGCGGGAGGGGTTCAAGGGGTGTTAGACGACGCTACTATTTTTCCCCCTTTTTCAATTTCGTTCGTCGCCTCTCGTGATCGGGTCTTCGCCCGTTGGAGACCGTTCAGCTCGCGGTCGGGCATGCCGGCGGACCGGTCAGCGAGTACCTGGTCGGTTGAAACAGGTCCAAAATTTCGAAATCGCCGTGCGAAAAGTGCGAAAAGGACGGAAAGGCGCCATGCATGGCGCGGGCGGGATGCTAAGGGGCGGGAGGGTGNGGGAGGGTGGGGAGGGGGAGGGGAAGAAGGGGGACAGGGACGGGCGCGTGGGCGGGGGAGGGACGGCGGGGCAAGACGGCGGTAAAGCGGATGATGTCCTTGCCATCCTGCACTGCTTGTGCTGGAAGCAGAAGGGTCAGGGTTCGGGCTTGCCGTGACGCGGAAGGCAAGGGTAGGGGTCAAACCCCGACCCCCTATCCTCCCCGTTCCGATCTGCGCACCCCGGGCTTCCCCACTCCTGCGCCCCCTCCCCTCGGCTACCCCTGGGGATAATAAAATAAATCGGATAAATAAAATAAATGGAGGCGATTGAAGGGTACGTTGAGGGTGGCGTGCGAGGAGGAAGGGGGTGGTTTTCCCCAGGGGTGGGGTAGGTGTGTGGTGGTAATTTCTTTTCTTGGGTCTGTGTGTGAGTCCCAGACAGTTGCATCCGTCCCGTCAGCGCCGCGCGCCTCGGGCGCGGTCGTTCTCCCGTACGACCGGTCATGGTCGACCTTGATGGTCGTTGCACGGATATCCTTGTCCGTCCGTGGTGGTGGGGCGGTTATCAGCTTCGGAGAGTTGGTGGGTATTCAGTAGCACGGGTGGGTTCAACAGTTTGACAGGGGATTTTTCCTTAAACTGCATCTTCCGCCCCTTCGCCTCTTGTTTGCCTCTCTGTCTGCCCGAGGTAACCTGGCGCACGACCCCCTATCTTCCTTCTCCTCCTTCGGCTACCGCCTCCTCCCCCTCTTTCCCTGCCCCTTCCTTTTTCTGCTTAATCTCTTCCTTACGTTTCTCTGTTTTTATTCTTTTCCTCTCTTCTTTCTCTCTTTCTTTCTTCCCGCACTTCCTTTCTTCTCCTTAAATCTTTCTTCTCCTTAAATATTTCTCTTCTCATCACTTCTTCGCTCCTTCCCTCTCTCTCTCTCTCTCTCTCTCTCTCTCTCTCTCTCTCTCTCTCTCTCTCTCTCTCTCTCTCTCTCTTCCGCCTCCTCCTGTCTCTCCTCTTCTCCTCCTTGCATGCTTGCGGGGAGCAGCTATGGTGCAACTTCGGGAACGAAAGAAGCGGATTGATTATGCGCAAGAGCAATGGGATATTGGATATGAGGAAGGTGATTACGCGGACCGGTACGATGATAATGACGATGGTCGGGGTCGCGGTCAACGACGGGAGCATCGTAGAATGGAGGTGGACGAAGAGGAGGAAGGAGGTGCACCAGAGGAGAGGAAGAAAACGGCGGCAGGGGGGAGAGTGCTGGTTGAGCGTGAGCGGGAGCGGAGGAGGGATGAAGATCAGAGAAGAGGGGCGACAAGAGAGCAGAACATGCGCAACGAGGAAGGGGAGGGGGAGGGGGAGGGGGGGGCGGAGGAGGACGCCCTCCAGGGCGAGCACGGCGGCGGCGACGACGACGGAGAACTTAGGAGGGGCGGCGATGGTGGTCCTGAGGAAGAAGACGACATACTGAAATCAAGGTCTGCCTTTGCGAATGGCGATGGTGACGACGAGGATGAGGATGGGAGGGAGCAGATCTCGGGAAGCTCAGAGGATGATGGAGACGACGAAACTTTCGTGAATGGCAAGAAGGGAGGAGGAGGGGGCGGGGGAGGAGGGAGGAAGGCAGTCGCCGGTGGGCGATGGGGGAAGGCCAGGCGGCGAAGGAACCAGTGCCAGACCCAGTCCATTCTGAAGTACGCGCAGCCGAACGTGAGTAATGTGCAAGATCGGCGCGAAGAAGAGAGCCACCTCAGAGACGAAGGAGCTTCTGGATATGGCGGCAAAGGAGAGGGGGAGAGATGGGAGGCGAAAGCGACAAAAAAGACGGGGAGAGGAAGGGGGAGGCCGAGGAAGAAGCCGAGGGTGGTGGGAGAGGGTGGCAAGATGGAGGAGGGGGGAGTTGAGGGGGGGGCCGGTGGGAAAGATGGGGAAGAAGGGGTGCCCGAGGGGGAAATGATATGTGGGAACGAAGCGAAGGCGGGGGAGGGAGGGGGAGGAGGGGGAGGAGGAGAAAAAGGAGGGGGGGGTAGAGGCGCTGGCAGGCCGAAGAAGGGAGTCCGCAAGGCGGCGGAAATCCCCGATTCGGTGGTGTATGGATGGGCGACACGTGTATCTCAACGCCTCCGCGCGAAAGTGAACTACAGAGAATCTGAGTGGGACGAGGAGGAGGATGGTTCGGGTCGGGGGGGGAGCTGGAGACAGAAGAACAAGGGGGGAGGGG